GGTACGGCGAACCTCTATAAATCGTACCGATACCCGAGCCCGCTTGATTTACGTAGTATTGTTGATATGGGCAGTCCATTTCTTAAAATGAAGCTTTAAACTCAATGTTCCAAACTCGAATGGCATAGGAGCGCCTGTATCCGTCCTTATATGTATTTCGATATTTTCAAACTCTTTCGTCATCACGGGCATATAGTGTGACGGTGAAAACACTACATCTTTATGACTTCCATAAATGTAATTTTCGGCGGTAATGTTAACTATTCTCATTAGTGGTGATAACACATCTCCTACGATTTGCGGCTCCACAATATCACAATAAATGAACATCTGTGAGGGCACGCCTGACCAAATACTTGCAGGATGCGGGGGTATGGAATCGCGTACTACATTCTGTTCTGGACGATACCCAAGCTGTAAAGCTAACCTTTGGGAAAATCCCAGTACGGAGAGAGGCGTCCTAAATGCGATCGCCACACGTTTTGTGATCTTGTAATATTTGATTGTGATTAACTTTCCTAAATTTTCGTGATTGTTTATTTCTTTAAGAATATCTTCAATGTTTTCATAATTACCAGCATCAAGTTTGATCACGTACCAACCGCCGTTTTTATACATAGACGTTCCGAGATTATTACGGAAAAATGTCGCTGCACTTTCTAAAACTTTATTTAACGGAAAATCTGTTATTGGCGCATCTCTGTAGTAAATTAAATTGTCAGTTTCACTGATTGACGCAAACGCACAAGGATATTGTATTTCGGCTATCCCGACGGACCAATTACCACTTAATCTTATACGCTTTGGCAACTGTGTAACAAAGTGTGAAGTTGTATTGTTGGGAAAATAATCGACAGGGTAATGTAGAATTCTTCTTCCATTTTTATATGTTTTTGAGTTCTGCCGCAGAAATCCAAGAATTGAATTTGTCACTATAACCTCGCCACTTCACTAAATATTTTTTGTTTTTTCCTCTTCCTTTTTCTTCCAAAATCTCGTCAATTTTAAATACTGTATCTTCGTCTATCGTAACAGCCTGCAGTTCTTCCTCATAAAAAGTCCCTTCTATATCTTCACCGCTTAAATCCACTATTCTGTACACAGGCGGACGTCTCTTTATAACTTTAATAATTTTAAACACCTCTTGACTAAAGTTACTCTCATATCCCTTTTCAAAATGATATTTGGTTCTGGTGATTCTCACGTGTTGTCCCACTTTATATATAGGTCGAGTTTCTTTACCAAAACCCTTCGCGTAGAGGTTCTGCCAAACTTTCAAAATGTTTTCTTCGTTCACATCATCAGGCGCCATCTTGATCGAAGAATGATAGGATTTGTTATATGCAGACACCAAATCTTGTAGAACGTCCACGTATTTGAATGTGTTCTTATATGTAAAGTAGCGGTGCATTTTCGTCTTTAATGTGCGATTCAGCCGTTCGATTATGCAAGCTTTTACGTCGGGATTATGGGTTACATAATAATTTATATTGTATTTTTTTAAAAATTGTTGTACGCTTGCTGCCACAAACTCTTTTCCTTTATCAGTTTGTATATTTTCAGGTGTATTGTCACATTCTTCAAAAATGGACGAAAACGCCTCAATTATAGAATTTGCGCTTTTTTGCTTGAGAGGTCTTGCCCATGCTTTCTTACTGAATACGTCAATGACCGTTAATATGTAATTATAGCCTCTGTTGTTTTTCGCTAGGCTTCTCATATCACAAAGATCGGCTTGCCATAATTCAAACATGTTGTTAACTATGTATTTGTTGCGTTGAAATTTTCTTTTAACGGGCTTGTGCACAGTATATGCTTCTTGTTTTTGTAACCATGCTTTTACATCCTCAGTTGAATATCTATTTTTTAACGCTGAAGACAAGGAGGAAACTCCACCGAATCCGGCAGGATGTGAGGATCATAATATATGCTTTCCATCTACTTAAAGTTTAAAGGTTTTCCATCCGGGAATATGCAATCGTTTAGAAGTATTCCATCCACCTCGCTGTAGCCCACCAGAACTTTTGGAACGTTTTCTCGTATCCGGTTGCTTAAGTGCACTTCTCGTCCGTTTTGTGGTAACGTCTTGAACAGGGTTCACAGTAATTTTTGGGCGTTTCGAAATAATGTCTTCGGTTTTTACAACACTTTGTTTTTTGCCAATAAATTCTTGAGGAACATTAATTTCTTTTACGAAATCTGCAAACTGTCGGCCACCTTCCGGATTTGTTGATTGACGCGGTCTTACTGTGTCGTGTATTAAGTCAATAATATTCGATGACGGGATTACTTCGCCTTTTATTGTGACAATTCCTCTATTGTCCCATAAAATATCCCCCGAAGCATTGAGTATTCGTAGAAAATTTTCGGCTTTTTTCTTAAAAGTTTGTGGAACTGTAGCTATTATTTCATCTTCGGACATTCCTGTAGGCTTTGATTCAATTGCTATGCTTACAGGTTTTCGCATTTGTTCCGAAAAATGTAAATATTTCTGTAAAACTTGAGAATATTGTTGCCACTTTTCATATGGAGACTGTGTAGAATTTAATACTTGGGACATTTCGTCGTCAATTTGCGATAAAACATCTTCTTTCCTTGTTTCATTTGCTTTAATTCGCTGCATAACTTCCTGCGGTACGAGTAACATTTTCTTTGCGTGTTCCATGATTATTGAAAAAGACTTCCGAGTAAACCACCAAGTAACGGACCTAGCACAAATGGCAAGAATGCACCTCCGTTTTGAATTAGTATCTGTTTCTTCTTTTTTATCTTTTCACGGGGCGTTACCATACGCCGTAAGATGGTTTTATGACGAGCGAGACTTCGCTTCTGATCAGCGGTCAAATCGACTTGTCCTTTTAAAGTGTTGTAAATACACTCACATATGCATTCAATTTGATTGTCGTCCAAACATTTTATCAACGCTAACCGCTCCTTTGGTCCCAATTTTGAGAGAGCACGAAGCAACTCGGAATGTTTCGTCAACTTTGAAACCATTATGAATGTACCAATTGCTCAAGATTCAAACCTTTAATACCCTTTTTTGGTATATATACCACACAAGCGCCATCTTCTTCAAATATCGATGTTCTATAGCGGAAAACATCCGGTGTACTTTGTTTTAAATCGAATAACAGATATCCGTGGGGTTTAGACGTTGCATCATTATACGCTTCTTCTAAAAATTTGGAGTTTTCAGGGCAAATTTGCCGCGTTAAATGCTTTATTTGTGCCCGATCTCGGGGATTTTTGAATAAAATAATGTAGTGTGCATTTAAAGATATATCTCTCTGTCCTTTTCCTTGATGAAATATGTTTTGGGTTAGAAAGAAAACACTGAGGTTACGATGATGACATCCTTTTGTAAAAAATGTCAACAATAGCTCCATTTGATTCACGCATTAAATCATCAATAATTATCAGTACAGGTTTTAAGCCATCGAAACTGGACATATCGGGTAAGCCTTGATGGAATTCAACACCTTTTAGATCTTCGTACAATGACTGCCATTCCCCGTAATGCCAAACTATTTTTTCAAACAGTACAGAGCAGATGTTTGTTATATTTTTTAGAAAGTTTACAATAAAATAACTCTTTCCCGACCCGCTTGGGCCACTTACAAGAGCGGAAAATGGATGAAGAAATTTATTTTCCATTGTAATGTCTCGAAGTATAACACCAAACTGATTAAAAGAATGTAGAACTTACATTTATATTTATTTACATTTATTTGTACAAGAACCTATCATCATAAGTTTGCATATAATCCTCTATCTTATCAATCACAAAATACGGATACTTATGGACTAACTCATGTATAACTAAAGGTTCAGTAGTTAAATTTGTTAGCAAATCGTTATAACTCACATCTTTTTGCTGACGTCTATCCAGAATGTCCACAACTTTTTCTACAAAGTTTTTGAAAGGACAATCATTACCTTCCAAATAATTACCCAAATAATTAAGCTTCTGACGTAAGTAGTCTGCCATAGCGATCACTTTTTCCAGGGTGACGAGTCCCAAGTACAGTTCACAGTGGATTTCTTTCTTCGAAATGATACGCGCAGCTTTATATTTTCTGCAGCACCGTACATGAAAATCTTCTAGATCGAAAGTTTCATCTTCTTCCTCGTGCTTTACTGCTCCGACGATGTCTTCTAATTCGCTTAAAAAACTCTCGAAGGCACTCTTTGAAAAATATATGCTCCGATCCTTGCCTTGTATCTTGACACAGGGGCAATCTTCAAATACGTCTAGACCCACTTTCAGGATTTTGGATCCACTATTATTTAGATTAAATGTCGACTCACTGAGTAATTGCTGTCGTTCTTTATCCATAAACTTGTTATGTATGCGCTTACGGTCTTGTGTTGATAAACAGAAATCTTCGTGTCTGGGCACTGGATTATTGTAAGATGAGATGTTGTATTCCTTCATAACATCCCTGTCGAATGCTCGGTGATCATCCTCTGTGTAGCAGAATTCTGGCGATGATGCAATAGGCTTGTAGTAATTGAGTGTCGTCGACAACTTTTCAGCAGTACGAGGATCTCTGGGGTTTGTTGATGGACGAGAATAAGGTTTGCTGTACGAAAACATAATCTGTAACGAAATGTAAAATTAGAAAATAATTGCAACAATTTAATTACCAATTAGAAAACAATTGCAACAATTTAATTACCAATTATATCAAAAAACAGAGGCGATTGAACTTACTTGTAACTTTGAACTAGTACACTGACACAATATCACGTTGAACACTGAACTGAACACAAATGAGAACGAGGCGCAACCCTCACCAGCTTTATAAACACCGCGTAACTGTAAATCTAATACGTCACTATAATCGCGAATTAAATTAAAAAGATGAGTCATAGTTGTGCAGGTGACGATGAGTCATGACGAGAACAAAAGAAAATGATTGACGTGGTGCCATAAAGACGACCACAAGAACAAAAAATGTGGCTATTCATGCGGAAAACAGGTTTAGCGAAATATGAGTCATGCATTTTAAACAATAGATCATGTTTAATCAAGCGGAAAACCGGTTTTAGGAGAACAATAGAGCGTTCGGTAATGTTCGGAAGGGATCGGATTCTATTTTACCTGCTCTGATATAAAAATCTTATTTTCGGGGACTCGGAATTACTCGCGTTCTTACATTTGTACGTGCGTATTTTTCGAGTTTTTACGTGATCTTTGTGTTTGTGCTTTGTGTGTATTTTAACTTGTGCAATGGCTGCCCATTTTAAATCCATGTGTGCTGCGTTCGATGCTGACTTCCTTTCCGAGGATGCCATGGTTAAGGTTTGTGAGCAGTTGCACAATATGATAACTTCCGGTGAAGTGATTCCTGAAGAAGAAGACATTGTGCACTTCCGGCGTCTTCGTGATGTGGTGGGTACCATTCAAACGCGCCTGCTTCAACAAAATGTGGTAAGTTTTTAATATTTGTACACTTATAAATTTCTAAATATAAATTTCTCTGCAGAATGCGCAGCAAGTTAATACGGGCGTCGTCCCACAGTCCCAACCCGTCGATCTTACTGTCACTGTAAGTTTATTTTAATTTAAAGTTGCTCATATTTTAATTGTAATTTTGATTGTAGAATACTTTACAACATCCGACTATGACTGCTAAAACACAGTCGCAACCACTGGACCTTACTGTAAATGTAAGTTTATATTCAATTACTCAATATTCAGATTTTAATCCCAATTTATTACAGCCCCATGTATCCAAAACGGCTTCGGAAAACGTCCTGACCCAATCGCAGCCAATGGACCTCACTGTGAAAGTAAGTTCATCTTATTTTTGTAAAGTTGTTCATATTTTAATTTGAATCATTATTCCAGAATGCACCACGACCTGCAACTTCAGGCGTAAAGCCTAATCGAAAGCGTGCTGCTCCGTGTGTAAATAATGTAAGTTGCATAATAATTTTTCAGTGTGCAAGTTCTACATGATAACGTCTTTACAGTTTCTTAATCCACAACATTCCACGTCCGGTCTACAACAAGCTACACCTACGGGATCTAATAATGTAAGTGTTTCTTTAATTATACTATACGATGAATTTAATTATTAACTTCTTTACAGATTAACTCCGAACCCTCTACTTCGGGTCTACACCAATTATCACCCCAAGTTGGCCGTGGAGTACCTCGACGTTTCTTAGTGTTGTCAGAGGGAGAGCGGGTAATAAAGAAATTCAACTTGACAGCCCAACAGTTAACTATCAAGTTTGATGATGCGGAGCCCAATGAAGCACCTCTAGAATGGCTTAAGGTATGCATACAAATCTATTTTTATTAAACTAAACTTCATTCTGTGTATTTCTGTTACAGAAATCACTGACTGCGCTTATTAATTATATAACTAAGAGGCGTAGTGTGAGTGATCGCATTGGATTAATGCTGACAAATAGCGAGTTTCCTGACAACCCTCTTGGATTTTCATTCCGCCGTATCGACCAACTGAATGCTAACGTCATGCTGAAGACCATGGACAAGGTTATGCAAAGTAATAAGGCGTTCTTCTCCAGCGATGCACTACGGGTTGACGTGAGTCTAATTACCCTCCCTAATGGCAAGGGGCGGCAACGCATGACGGGTGTTACTTTTGAGGAGTTCTCGCAGCGAAAACACGGTATCATTATCATTAACAACAATGATACTCTGTGCCTCGCTCGTGCGCTGGTCACCGCCATAGCTTTCCGTAACAATAGCCCAGATTTACCATACCTGAAAGTTGGACATGCTCTCCAGACAGAAAAAGCCCGAGAATTGTATGCTGCGGCAGGCGTAGATTTGAGTAACGGAGGGACCATTGAACACATACGCCAGTTTCAAGACCACCTCACGGACTATACGATCGTTGTCTACAATCATCGGATGGGCAAAACGGTGTATTTTGAAGGTCTACGATCCCCTCAGCGTCAAGTGCTAAACCTCCTCATGGAGAATGAACATTACAATGTGATTACAAGCCTAACGTCCGCGTTTAGTTGTAGCTACTTTTGTGAGTCGTGTCGTGTACGCATGAGTGAACGTAAGGCTCACAAAAACTGTAAGTACATTTGTCCCTGTTGTCACAACAATCCCCCGTGCAACAAGGATGTTGTGAACATTAAGTGCGCGGAGTGTAATCGCGATTTCCGTGGACAGGACTGCTATCGCTATCATAAAGACCAGAATTTATGCTCGCAAGTACGTCGATGTCGGACGTGTTTAGCGACCGTGTGGAAAAATAAGAAGCCCCACAAGTGCGGGTTCAAACTATGTGTTACTTGCAACGCAGAACGTCCCATACGTCACCTCTGTTATATGGCTAAGAATTCCCCAAACAAGAAAAAGTTAGACAAAGACTTTGTGTTTGTTTTCTACGACTTTGAGTGCCGCCAGGACGAACAGTTTGAAAACCGACCTAACACTTACGTGCATATCCCCAATCTTTGTGTCGCGCAACACGTGTGCAAGACGTGCATCGTAAACAATAAGGACATTAATATGCCTTGTGACAATTGTGGTAACCGTCAACATATATTTAAAACAGCCCCTGTCGATGAACTTTTAAGTCTGGTGTCATCATTGGCCAAGAAAAATCGTGATGTCGTGGCTATCGCGCACAACAGCAAAGGCTACGACAGTATTTTCATTTTGAAGGAGATGATGAAGACTCCCTCTGCCTGGAACCCAGAGATAATTGCGACAGGCACAAAAATTACTTCGCTCGCGTGCAATAACAACATCAGATTCATCGACAGTCTCAATTTTATACCGATTCCATTAAGTGCTTTCCCAAAAACTTTCAATTTTGAGGGGTCAAAGGGTCACTTTCCGCACTTCTTCAACACCGTTGCTAATCAAGATTATGTCGGCCCGATGCCCGCACCCCATTTCTATGGCTGTGACGAGATGTCTGCGAAGAATCGTGAAGATTTTCTTGAGTGGTACAATGGAGAGGAAATCCGCAACGCTGTATTCGATTTCCAAGCGGAAATTGTACAATACTGCATTCAGGACGTCAACATCCTACGGCGTGCATGCGTTGAATTTTGGCACAAGTTCGTCACCGAAAACAAAGTCGACCCATTCAGAGAGTGTTGCACAATTGCCTCCGCCTGCAGTCTCGTGTTCCGAAGAAACTTTCTCCAGGAAGAGACCATAGGGCTCATCCCTCACGGCGGTTACAGAGCAAGCGATAACCAGAGTAAAGTAGCCATTAAATGGTTACTGCTATTGCAAAACCGTGAAATCCCCGATCTTCAACATGCCGGCAACACCCGAGAAGTGCGCCTAAAGGAAGGGATCATTGTGGACGGGTACTCCCAAGCAACGAACACCGTCTACCAGTTCCATGGCTGCTACTTCCACGGGTGCGAGAGATGTCACTCCGATCAGACGGCTGCGCTGAAGGGCGATAAAACGGACACGATGGGAGTGCGTCGCGAGAAGACTGAGGCGACGTCAGTACGTATTAGGGCCGCAGGTTACAATCTCGTGGAAATGTGGGAGTGCGACTTCAAGACGTACCTCATTAATAATCCGGATATAGCCGAATTTTTGGAAAACCACAACGTGGTAAAAAATGAGCCCCTAAACCCCCGAGACGGTTTCTTTGGCGGACGTACGAATGCCGTCAAGTTGTATCACAAGACCGAAGGCGATGAAGTGATAAGGTACTTGGACGTCTGCTCCCTGTACCCCTACGTCAACAAGTACGCAAAATACCCTGTAGGCCACCCGCGCGTACTTGTAACCCCCGAAGAACTTCGCACCGTCAATCTTAATTCCGTGGAAGGCATAATGAAGTGCACGGTTCTGCCGCCCCAACACCTCTACCACCCCGTGCTTCCATACCGTTGCCACGGCAAGCTCATGTTTCCGCTATGCCGCACATGTTGCGAAACGATGGAGCAGGATGAGTGTGAGCACTCTGAAGAAGAACGGAGGTTCAGTGGCACATACGTAGCCGATGAACTCCGTAAAGCCATTTCCTTGGGGTACGTAGTGGAGGACATACAAGAAGTATGGGAGTACCGTACCACCAAGTACGATAAGGCTACAAAGAGCGGGGGATTATTCACCGGCTACGTCGACAACTTTTTGAAGACGAAGCAAGAATGCAGTGGGTGGCCATCCTGGTGTGTTGACGAGGAGGCCTGTATGCAGTACCTAGCCGACTACATGGAGCACGAGGGGATCCAACTCGACCGGTCCAAGATTGCGGTGAACGCAGGGCTTCGCTACATTGCCAAACTTTTCCTCAATTCGTTTTGGGGAAAGTTTGGACAGCGCGACAATCTGACGAAAACCGCAATTGTCTCAGAGCCTGAGCAGTTTTTCCAAATGCTCACTGACCCGGCCGTGGAACTCAACTCGATCATTCCCGTGAACGACGAGACCCTCATCGTCAACTGGACACTCCCCGAAGAAGCCGTCGAACCCCTGAGGACCACCAATGTGGTGTTGGCAGCTTATACAACCGCCCATGCCCGCCTAAAACTCTACAGCTATCTCGAGCAGCTGGGTGAACGAGTCTTGTACTTTGACACCGATTCAGTCATCTTCACGGAGAACCCCGGAGAGTGGTCACCAGCTTGCGGCAACTTCTTGGGAGATATGACTGACGAGGTGGAATGCTATGGCCCCGGCAGCAGAATAGTTGAGTTTGTGAGTGGTGGACCGAAAAACTATGCGTTCAAGGTGTTTTCCCCAAGTACTAACAATTATAGTGTAGTGTGTAAGGTTAAGGGCATCTCCCTAAATTACAAAAATAGTGCTGTGGTGAATTTCGAAACAATCAAGGACGCCGTGTTGAACAATGCCCCAGAGACTTTTGTGGAGACTGATCGTCGTATAGCCAGGACTTGTACATACGACGTCATCTCCAAGCCTGAGAGGAAGCGCTATCGTGTCGCGTACACAAAGCGTCGCCGCATAGCTGTAGGCTGCGACACACTACCGTATGGTTATAAGAAGTAATTCTTTTTGATAGTTACTGTACATATTTAATTTTAAGTTGTACATATTAGTTTTTAAGTTTGTAAATACGTTCTGTGGACTAGGCCTACAGGGGAACACCACGTTAAAAAAAACGCGCCTTAACTCTACCTCCTGGGTGGTGTGGAAACGGGTTTGTATTGTATATTTTAAATTGTAATTTGCGCTTAATTTTTGATTGTAATGTTTTTTTTTTTGTTAATTGTTGCACCCTAATAAACATAATTAAAACTTGTTCATTTTCTAACTTCTATTTCAGAATAGGTAAAAGAGGGACGCAATGAGTAAGAGAGAGATAGACGCAGTGAGTAAGAGAGAAAGATAGAAAAAATTTCAAATTTCCGCCCTTGGCGGCCATTTTGTTTTTCCGCCATTTTGTTTTCAATTAGAGTTACCTGTGTGTAATTATTACATATGTGTAATTATTCTTGATTATACGATCAATTTAAATTAATCGATAAATTAATTAGATCAATCAAACCGCGAATTAAATTAATCGGACAGCGGATTAAATTAATCAAATCCACAAATTAAATTAATTAGAGGAAATTCCGAGAAATCAAACCGCGAATTAAATTAATTGGACCGCGGATTAAATTAATCAAACCGCGAATCAAATTAATTAGATCAATCAAACCCCGAATTAAATTAATTAGATCAATCAAAACGACGATTAAATTAATCGAACCGCGAATTAAATTAATCGAGCCGCGGATTAAATTAATTAGATCAATCAAACCACAAATTAAATTAATCAAGCCGCGAATTAAATTAATCGATTACGTCATCGCTCTTATCAAATGTCAATAAAGACCAAAATCCCACAGTTTTTAATCAATTAATCAAATCAAACTCCAAATTTCCCCCCTCCACCCTCGAAAACACCCCTCGTCCACGGGGGCGAACCCGCGAATCAATTTAATTGACCTTGATTGACCCCGCGAATAAAATCCAAGATGGCGGCAAAGTGCACGACTTCTACTGTTATTAAAACTCTTGGATGTTATATATTGGATTTTCGCGTAAAAAAGTTTTAAGTTTCTTGGAAAAAAGTTGTTCATTTAGAGATTGGAAACAAGAAGGTAAACGGTTATACAATACAGGGCCCCAATAATTATGTGCCGCTTGCGACGTTTTTAATCGTAATCTATCATTATATATTTGATTTTTGTTCCGAGTATTGTAAGAATGAACATTTTTATGCGTTATATAATTATACTTTATATTTACGAACAAAACTGAGTCAAAAATGTATTGTGATGGAGCTGTTAGAATTTGCAACGATTTAAAGATATTGCGACAGTCCTCCCTGTAGCCAGCATTTATAATATTCCGCACACAGCGCCTTTGCATGGTAAATGTTACGAATAGTTGAGTTTGTTTATGCGCAATCGCATTTTTGTTAATTCTATGTATGGGGAAATGATTATTCGTTGTTATGATGTTGAATAAAGCACCAGTATTTTTACATGCAGTTTTGCGAAATTTTGGTCTATGATTGAGAAGCACGAAACCACCACAGAAAAATTACATGGTCCTTCAGAGTCGGATTGATATTCAGTCAGTAGATCAAAAGGTACAAGAAGTTCGCAATTTTACGTTCAATCGATCCAATTTCTGAGATCTACATTGGTGTAAAAGGCAAGGCCAACACGTTAACAATCCTACATCAAATTCATCATTGCTGTAGAATGACCCCAGGCAATGATGGCGTAACTAATGATAGAATGTGAAAAGCTATAATAAACGCATTTTAAGATCTTCACAGAAACTGAATATGACAAATGTTTTGGATATACGCAACAGATGCCAATTTTGTACAAACTTTATTTTCATGCTGTCTCCAGGAAAGCCTGGCATCGATCTGCACCCCTAGAAAATTAGTGCATTATTAATTTGTTCCTCACTTTTAGTAGGATCAGTGGATGTAACTGTGATGGTTGTATCATCGGCATACAGTGTGAAGATACTATCCCGGTCTGACATGTAGATGTCATTTACATAAATTAACAAGTTAAAAAGTAATCGTAAACGATTTACATAAAGCCCATTTCCACTTGCATTCATTTCCCATTTGTAAGATGCAACTTCTGTTAAAATCGTAAAAATCCGGCCACAAATATGAAAGATAGCGTTGCACATGGGCAATCCATTGTTGACGTGCTACTTCAATTTCAGTTTATGAGAAAAATTTCATTTCAATGCTTTTCTAAATAAGAAAGTTGGAACTGCGCATGCGCAAACCTAAATTTTAAAACTAATTTACTATAACTAACTAATAAACTAAGATTTTCCTTTGTTCCAAACGCCTAAGTATCAAATTTCACTTAAATAGTTCCATAGATAAAAAAGTTGGCACGGCGCATGCGCAAAATAAAATTTTGAAACTGGCGCTAGATTTTCCTTTATTCCAAGTGCCTATGTATCACATTTCATTAAAATTCTTCCATAAATAAAAAAGTTGGCACTGCGCATGCGCAAAACCAAATTTTGAAATTGGCGTTTGATTTTCCTTTATCCCAAGTGCCTATGGATAAATTTCGTTTAAATTCTTCCATAAATAAAAAAGTTGGCACTGCGCATGCGCAAAACCAAATTTTGAAATTGGCGTTTGATTTCCCTTTATTCCAAGTGCCTATGTATCAAATTTCATTCAAATACTTTTATAAGTAAAAAAGTTTGCAATTCGGTTTAAAAATGGTCGAGATGCGAAAAGGGCACTGTGAATTTTGAATCGATTCGATTCAACTTTTGGCATTGCGTATTATATGGCTAAATCTATGCCCATATTGAATTTCATGCAATTCAGTTCATAACTAACGGAGATGTAAAAGCGATCGAACATTTCTAATCGTTCACACGGACAGATAGATGGACAGACAGACAAAGGAACAGACGGAGAGACCAACCGGCAGGCGACAGATAGCAATGCAAAATTATAAACGATCTCTAGGATCGTTAATAAACGGCAAATGTGTAAAATTATGGAACATGTAAAAAACGGTTTTTTGTTTTTTTTACAATAACTTTTTTTGTAAGCGGTACAGAAAAATTCCTTCCTTGGTACAAGACTCGACACCATAACGAACCAAATAGCGAAAAAAGTAGAACAATAGCTCTTAAGATAAAAAAACTAGTAGCGTCGCAAAGTTAGCGGACGGACGGACGGACGGACGGACAAAGTGGCCACAATAGCGCATTTTTTTTTTATTTTTGTGGAAATGCGCTAAAAATAAAAGTGTGTCTGTCTGTCAAGTCTGTGAATGTCTTCCGGGGGAATAGCTCTGGGAGCGTTTTTAGATATCGAGGGTGCGTTTAACAACACCACGTTCGATTCGATTAGTGAGGCTGCTACTGACACATCTATGAGTGGGTAAATTAAAAATCTTTCTGTCAAAATTTAAGCCAACAAGATCAACTTTTAAGCTCAAGTCAGCTTTGGTTACAATTTTTTAAAACACCGAATGCTCATTTATACTCGGAGTTTTTGAAAATTGCCTAGTACCTTTTTTGCATTCTTGCTCATAATGCCAACGTTGAAAGAATATTTTCACTAGTGGCATAACAGTGGACCAAAGAAAGGAATTTATTGAATATTGAAACAGTCTCGTTAGTGATAAAAATAAAGTACAATTTCAAAGACTATAATTGTGTACCTAGATTTTTATAAATTTCTTTTAAGAAAGGAAGATATTCCAAAGGTTATTGGAAAGACGGATAAATACCGAAGACCTGAAAAGTAAATAGTTCATTAAACATTTTATTTTATTAAAAGACCAAATTTTTGTTTCATTCGTGTGGCGCAGTTCAGTTAAAGCTGGACTGTGCTGCTAAGGGTCCTTGGTTCGAATCCAGGTTCGGGCATGGATTGTTGTAAATGTATAGTGGGTTGGGTTGGTAGAGCAGCCTTGGCTAAAACCCCGCCCACTCAAAAATAAAGGCAAAATAAAATAAATAAATTTAAAAATTATTGTGAATAGCTTCTGTATTTCATTTTGTTAAAAAAGTGTATTATTGCTTCATTTAAAGAATTTAAAAATGTAGGTAAGCCGTTGCTGATTTCTAACAGTTAAAAAAGATTTTGTTTCGTGATAAAGTGCGCTTTGTTTTATTCAGAAAAATAAATTGTTTGTTTTATTTCTTTAGACAATTTTTTTTATCAAATTCGGTTGATATGTCCGGGTTTATAATCCCTAAATCTGGGGTTTTCACGCTTCCTGTCCTAGTTGGCAGAGCTTTGAGATAGCAACCCTAATTTGGCGTTTATTTTGCGGAATATTATCTATACCAGAGTAGGATGATTAGCGCACCATTTTGTGCAGCTCCATTTTCATACTAGCAACCAAGTTGATCCACTCTTTGTGAATCTGTAGCGCCTTTTCTAACGTATCGGCACCACATAAAAAATCGTCAACATAGCAATTATTTAACACCACGTTACCTATATGCTAACAGCCTTTTTGCTGCTTCTTGTTAAGCGGTTTCAAGCAAACATCTAGAAGCTATAAGGACTTGCTTTTAAACCATATGTAACAGTTTGTAACTATATGTAAGCATAATACTGGACTGTTAATATTCCATCGCCAGACTCCAGAGTATAGGTATTTAACGACGATTTATGCTCTGGGTCAATTAAAATTTGCCTATACACTTGCTTAATGTCGGCCACAAAAACAAATTCAAATTTTCTAAAATTCATTAAAACATCAAACAGTTCCGGTTCTACTATTTTTCCATTATACATTGAGAAATCTTATTTTTTGATTTCATTGAACCATTTAAAACTACCCGCAACTTGGTCGATTGACTTTCTTCCCTTATAGCCGAGTGATGCGCCATAAAATAAATTGGATTCTTACTTGAGCTATAATTATAATCCTTCCTTAATATTTACGATTTTAGCATAACCTAACGAAAGAAATTACTGTACGCGACCCACAAACCAGGTGCTATTGTTTGTGTTTTGTCCGTCCGTCCGTCCGGACCCACTTCTGCCGTTTCGAACTACTTCTAGGGGAATGGTCCTAGAGTCCTGGAATGTTTGGCAGTAGGTAGCCTATACCTTGAAGGTGTGCCAGACGGCCATCAAATTTCGTTGTCTAAAAGGGGGGCCCCCCACGAATTATTTTCTGAGTGTTTTTGAAAGTAAAACGTGCATAACTTTTACATACGACAACCAATTGGTCTCAGATTTTGCATACGCATGCCTTTAGTGGTACCAAGTTAAACTTTAGAAAATGGGGGGGGGGGGGAAACACCGAGGTAAGCACATGTTCTACCCTTCATGGTCTCATCGAAATAAATTGTCCTTCTTTTTGTCCTCTTATCAAAGTACGGGGTGGAGGGAGAGGGGGTGGAGGGAGAGGGGGGGGGAGGTGGAACTGGTTTTATCCTTCACCATAGCCCTCCTCCTCGACCTCTTATCGTGATCGGGTATATTCCCCTATACCATTGAATAAAAAATTTATTCAATGCCTATACCTCAAGAACGGATTGTCGGAAGAGGGTACTGTTACAGAACTATAGTCAATTTTATATTAATATTTAAATTTTTTATTGCGCGCGCTATATGACACCTTATCTTCCACAAAAGACGTGTGCGTTAGAACTGATACGCTATACGAGTCTAGTTTTACTTCGCTTTCAATGAGCATTCAGTATTGTCTTTGAGTGTCAATCCTGAGTCCTACGTCGCCAATATTACAACCGCCGCGCCGCTTTCGCCTTCATCCCGCTAGCCTCTATAACCACACCAGCGAAACTACATATAAGCAAAGAATACTTTAGTCACTCTTTGATATAAGGTAAGGTGTCTCTTATCTTTTTTATTAGTTTAAAGGCTTTATTTTGGGCTTGGTTCTTTAACAGGTACTCACAAAGGGCGATTGAGACGTCTGCGAGAAATATATCCATTGGTGATGTCAAAACAAAACTTATTTCGGTTAAAAAAAATGCGCATTATCTGCACAAGAGTTGTGCACAATTTATACTTGTTTGTATTAAAATGGATAAAATCTCCAGCTAAGATAAAGTACAGTATATTACTCGCAATAATGGCTATTATTCTCGAAGAATATTTACGAACTGAGCCCCTTCAGCGGCGAGGGAGTAAAATTCCGTTTGTTTTGTTTCCATGGATCATATTAAATTTAAGGAAATTTTGTGATTGGAGTACAAGCAGGCGTAAGAGCTATTAATCCCTAGTCATTAATCCCTAAGGGAATAATGGATGGCATTATACCGAACATACCATAAGTATAATACTCACATTATATATTAGTCCTAGATAAATAATTAATTGTATATCAAAGCCTATAAATTATACAACCGTACTACAGGCAAGTATACAAATCCTGCACATGTGAGTCTGAGGATGATTTTGTTTGTTGTGCAACAGGCGTACGCCCAATTACAGAGTGAACCGCATAATGTTTTTAGAGGTGCCCAATGAGATGCCCCTGTAGAAGGTGTTAAGTTGTTCTATACTACTGGTATTTTCCTTACGTAATAGGAAAACTGCAAGATAACGTAATTCAGAGTAACCGGCAGAATCCTTGAAAGTGATCTAAGGAAATTCCCATCTCTGCCACAGATGAATAAATTCCTACCTCAGCCCAGGTTCGAACAGCCGACCTCCGGTTTTGTAGCCCAACGCTCTACCATTACTGAGCTAGAAAGCCGAAGACTGGTGACTGGTGTAGGTACACGTACTGACATGTCTTTTAAATGCTAACAAATGTATCGCCATACACTTTAGTAGAAAACGTCAATCATCCATACCGGTTATATTCTGGACATTCCTATCAATATAAAATCTGTAATTAAAAGATCTCGGCGTTGACCTTGAAAATAAGTTGACTTTTGGCTATCACTATAACCATATAATCAGAAGTGCCAATAGGGCTCTGGGATGTAGTAAAAGGTATGGCAAGGATTTCAAAAATCACAACACACTGAAGCTGTTGTACATCTCACTGGTCAGATCTAAGACCAGACCAGACCGTCGTCTCTGGGATTCTATGTACACCACTTATATTATCCTACCCAACCCCTAAATGAGGGTGCGGTAATTTTTGCTGGGCATGCATTCTGCGGGTCGGAATATTCGTTGCGGTTGACATTTTTTTCACATTCTGAAAAGCTAAGCTTAAGATTATTAGTTCAAAAGTGCCCAGGTACCAGATTTCGTCTACATCAAACTATTTTCGCACTTATGCGGATAGGGGACAGAAAGGTTACACGCGTGGTAGAGTTTAATGTTTAAGATGTAGGTATAGGGAAGTCATTAACAATAAACTTAGGATCAAAAACAAAGAAAAGAGAAAATGGAGCACATTTCAAAAGGTGTAAGAATGGCCAACATTCAAGCTTTGAAGCTACAAGTTCACAGTTGAAGTTCATTAAATCTAATTTGAAAAAATTACGTGTTGTGTATTTTAAGGTGGCACACTATTAGTTAAATTCACATGTCTTTAGTTTAGTAAACTTTAATTAATCATAACGCAGAAGTACAGAAATTATTAATATCGAATTTAATATCTTAATTGAAAGGCGATGCGTAACTAACTAAAAAATAATAATTGACAATCCTTTTTTTTCCTAGCAACAGCGCGCTAGATTTTTCGACTTAATTCTAATTTAAATTGAGAACATAATATTACGTAAACTTGTGGCGGCATCATATTTGTGTTGAGAGGAAACAATTATAATAAATTTTCTCAATTTCTCAATTCTTATTTGCTTTCTTCGAATCTTTTGCTCGAGTTTGTTAGTGAATTTTTGGGATTTCTTAGTTTTTGTTATGCATTTTCTCTGAATTATGAAAATTTTCATTAATGTAATCTCATTTTAGTTATATTACAATTTACACATGTAGTGATATCAACAAAAATTATCGCAATATCTACTCAATGGCGTCTTAAAATTTACCTAATCTGAAGCGAGTGAAAAACAAGAAAAGGTGCGGCTACTGTGGACAACGTAATTTCTGTTGATAACTAAGTGAAGATATCACATCTATCTATGATAAATAAAAGTGTTTACGATAATTAGCATGCCCCTTATCAATTGTCAGAAAGAAGTAACGATTGCTAAATCAAATCAATCCACTTATACCTGTTATTCAATAATTTTAGGTAAGTGACGAACGTGTTTTATAAATAAATCTTCAATATCTATTAAATAGGCGACATACCAGCGCAGAATTGACGGTGTGACTACCACTCCACCCACGTATAAGTTTGCTGTCAAATACTAGACCAAGGAATTTATGTTCTGACACAACCGTTATAGCGCAGTGGGTTCATCATATTGTCTCCCTCGCAATCGGCCAAAATGCATACAGACGGTTTTTTGACTGAGTCCCCCTGTAGAATATTTTCCATTTTTATATTGTCGGTACCACTCACTGCTCTTGCCAAGTCATTTACGTATAGCATAGTCTTGCTAGTTTGAGATATTTGATTAGCTATTCGGTTAATTGCTATGAGAAATAGGGTTGTGCTGGACACTGAACCTTGAGGTATCCCATTCAGTTGTTCGTATATGCCGGAATATATCAACAACTCGTACTCGAAATTTACGTTCTTCAGAAACTATTTATCATCCTTGGTAGCCTACTTTTCAGTCCCCATGTCTTTTTAATGTTCTCATAATATAATGTTTCTAGACCGTATCAAACGCTTTTTGCAAATCGAATTATACTATACATAATGTGTGTTGTGTTTTCGTGTTTCGTGTTTTCTAACACAGAAATTAACCTATAGATAGTACCTATAGTAGATCATACGTTCTGGGATTTTTCCAATACAAGAAGATAGCGTAATCGGTCTAAATTATTGAGGGTTGGATTTATTTTCCTTGGGCCACGCTAGAATAGTGGTAACTTTCCATTGTTGTGGTTGCGAGCCACTGAATTTCTGTAGCAACGTCTGTCAGTCAATGAAGTTCAACGGTGTAATGCGACTGCGATATTGGGAATAATTCCACGTTCTAATAATTTTATGTAAATGTTTATAGTCGTAAAAAAATTGGCAAAAACATAGAACTAATTTAAATTGGGTTTTTTGATTGATAAGTATGAAAAGAGGGTAAATCTAAAGGTAAGTGGAATAGATTTTGAACCAGATTGATGTTTTTTTATTTTCACGGTCGAAATATGATGCCACAGCCGGAAAACAGTAGGAAGCCGTCACCGTTTCCCGAGTTGTTCCACTCCTAGAGCTTTAACTCCTGATATAACCCCTGTCAATTCTGCGCTGGTATGTCGCCAATAAAAGATATAGAATATCTCTTTGTAAAGACGTAGGTATGTCACATAAATCTGAAATTATTGAATAACAAGTATAAGTGGATTGATTTGATATAACAATCGTTCTTTTTCACTGATAAGGGGCAATAAATTATAGTAAATACTTTTATTTATTATATATAGATATGAAATCTCTACTTAGTTTATCAACAGAAATTACGTTGTGTACAATAATAGCTATCTTCCTTGCTTTGAAGTGCTTTTATATTAAATTTTAAGACTCCATTGAATGGATAGCGCGATCATTTTCTCGTATCACTACACGTGTAAACTTTGTTTCAAGGGTGCTGAACCTTTCGTCACACTATCTGACGTCATATCAAAATTAAGGCAGGTCGTAAATTAGTAGTTGGTTTACATATTGTCACATTGACGTTTCAACTTATTTATTAAGGTGTCACTATCGTTCATTATTATCAGACCGTCCAAGTTGACAATCACTTGTAAGGCATCTGGTCCTGATAGGTTTTTTCCTGTCCCCAGGTTTTATAATGGCTAAATGGTCATGTATTTTATGTAGAGGAACTCCGTTGGTATGAATTAAACTCGAGATTAAACTTTTTCCACCGTTTGTAATCACCTCATGTAACTGATTCTTTGCACCGACGACAGTGGAAATGGATACTGCCAGAGCATCAGAAACTCTTTGAGATGAAGTGTATGATGGTTACAGAAAACGCATAGGAACATTTGTAACTTAAAGTTTGTTTAGGCAGTTCGTAAATTAATATTTCGTTTACCTAATGTTGATGTGAAATTAAGCATGCTACCAATGTGAAGAATACGCGTTAAGTTGCGCGAATTTTAATGACCCTTAACTAGCCATTTGCAGAAGTAGAATAGGCCATGGTTTATCGGTAAGCCTTTCGCATTTATATATCTTACAAATTTGAGATAAAGCGTAGGCATTATACCACAGGCTCATTGAAATAACAACGCATACATACAGTTTCTGTTCTTTTGCCACACACTCGAGATATTCGCATAAGGATCTTGAATATCTACTGTTCCGATTTATTAAAAAAAAAACGCAATTGTGAGAGAAAACAGGTAGTGAAGATATTTATTCCTGAAAAAACTCTCAAATGTTCATATTCAAATCGTATGTACAAAAGAAAAAAACGACACTACACCACAAGTAGGTATATATGTATAAACGGCCCAAAATAATATTCTTAAACACGCTGATTCTCTTCTGCCTCATGAATATAATCATCATAATAATCTTCGTCACTATCAGATTCGTCCAAGTTGACAACCACCGGTAAGATGTCTAATGTATCAATATGTTGTTCCCGTTCCTAGGCCTGGTTTATAATGCTTCTGTATGATCAAAATATCTTTTCCATTTTTCCGGTGTAACCTAAACAATAAAGTTATTAAGTACTACTGTTTCACAAAACAGCATATAAAGAGGTTACTTTGTGCAGTGCCTCATTCCATAAAGACAAAACGGCACTGTGTGTGACAGGCTGAATTGAACCGATCCTTGCATCGTAATGCCGTTTGCATTCTGACCATACCATTTCGATTGGATTATACTCGCAGTGATATGGAGGAAGTCCCAAAACACGATGACCATGTTGTAATGCTAATTCGTTCAATCTGTAAAAATCAACGTGGAGTGAAAAAAAAACCATAACAATCTGTTTCCTATCCAAAGGTCTACCTAACTGCAACCAAACATTTAATTATCAGCGATGCCTACCTAAATAGTTTTGGTGGTATATGATTTTTCACTTCTTCCCAGATCTGATCTTGCATCATTGTTGGTGCAAATGTAATGTCTCGTGATGTTAGCCACTTTATAAGTGACATTTTTGTCCAGCATTGATTTGGACTTTTTTCTACCAATCCTGAATGGTAAGAAGCGTTGTCCATAATTATAAGAGAAGGTTCATCCAAGTTCGGGATCAATTGTTGTTCAAACCACTTCTCAAAGTTAAGGCAATTCATGGAGTCATGATAGTCTCCGGACTTGCTACCAGATTTAATAATTAGACTTGCGTTTGGTACAAATCCATCTTCTGATCCTGCATGGAGTATTATATACCGGACCCCTTCACCACTTTTTTTTCTAACTGTTTTGAGAGTACCATCTTGCCAGCTTCTTCTAAAAGACCCTTTACTGTATATCCAGGTTTCGTCTAAAACCACAGGTCGTAATGGAAAGAGTGAAGTTTCGTTGTGTTTAAAGTCTCTCAAAAATTGTAGTCTTCTTTGAGCTACATAGAGCTGTTCCATTAAAAATAATCTATTAGAAACGGTGCATCTCCGCCACGTGAATTTCAGTTTCTTCAAACTGCGGGATAAAGAGGTAGCAGATATTTCTACGCCATCAAGTCGTTGAAGATTACTGTGTAAAGAACGGAGTGTAACATTCTCACCTATAAAATCAATTCAATACCTAAGTGTTCTCGCGAACATCTTCATTCTGTGTATCGGTTCGTCATATTTACCTAATTGTAACGGTAATGACCTAAATTCATGATATGAGGGAATCGAACGTTTATGTAAAATTTTTAAAATACTTGTCTGTTAACGGCGTTGCTGCACTGTGGACTTGCCTAAGCGTTTTCAACTTTGATGATATTTACTTCACTTTTAACACAAACTACCTAATCAAAAGGCATTTAACACTGGAAATCTGTCTATAACGAAAATCGTTTGACGGATTGATATTATTGACAGATCAATAATTGGTTTATTTGTCACGACTTACGTTAATGACGTAATTTTTTTGTCTCAATCGATTTAAATGTAATGAAGAGAGAATCACATTTATGACGTCAGGTTCAGCACCAGTGAAACAAAGTATATAGGTAAAATAATAAGTTTTCCGTTGCACGTCATTAATTTTCTGACGTCGTTCTTATGCTGCGTTGACAAACATTTGGTGTACTATAGAACTATTTACAAATCATTGTATCTACTGCTTGCACGTTTGACCTACTAAGCATGTAGTATCAACAATTTTAGAATCGCTTTTACGTGCATGAAATGACCTTTAAATTGCAGCCATAAAACCACATGTTTTTTTTTATAGTACCCCGCCCAGTACCTACACTCATAGTTAATATATCCTTACAATCCTCAAAACTTGAATCAAATAAACATTAACACATGAAAATTATACAAAAATAAACCGACTAGACAACCTATATAGGTTACCAATCTTAGCTTTAAATTCAGTTATCATGAACTACAAAATATCTACGTGTACAGGAATGTAACGATTCGAATTACTTACAGGCGATCGATTTTTTAATGTTGGAGCTTTATGTAAGGATTAACACTTTGAAGAACATACTGGAAAGATAAGAACAGACAGCAATTTCGATAAATTCATTAATTAACCTTTCTACATGGTTTAAAGGCTTGACAACTTACCTCTCAATTTACATGTCATACTTGATCATCAGTCAGATAGTATTTTGTAGTAATAAGTCCCTTTTATGTAATTCTTTTATAAACAATCTTACAGTGTAAATAAATACAAATTACTTAATTTGCAAATTAACAAGAATCTTCTGTGTCACTGTCACTATCTTCCCCTAAATTGGTAGTATATCTTGCATATCTAACATTTTTTCTCTTTCATACCATTTCATTATTTCACCTTCTGTGTCTGATTGAATTTTTCCATAATAGGTACTGGTGTCACGACTTTAACTGCTTCTTGCCACATATTTAACAATCAGCTGTTCTCCCATCTCCACCAATAAGTTTGAATGCTTTGAATGTCACCTTTTTTTCCATGAAGCATTAGGTGCTTTGTTATATTCCATATTGTGATATGGCGCATTATCGATAATAATGACGGTTCATTTAAATTTGGAAGCAATTGTGAATTGATTTTGAAACCAATGCAAGAAATTCGTCTAGTTCACTTCTCCGTTATAATCACCACTTGAAGTTTTTGATGCAAATATTAAATTTGTACCAGGTATGAATCCTTTCTCATTTCCAGCATACAGAATTATTTGTCTGTAACATATTTTTGGCTATAATTATTGTTACCACTATTAATAATAAACCAACCGCTTTCCATCAGTTTTGATAGCTTTCACACTTCTTCCATTACTATCTTGCCATGAGCGTTGTATATAGTGCCATTTTGGAATATCCACGTTTCATTCAGAAAATCAAATTGGTACAAATTTTTTTTTTGAAATCTGTATTGGCGCAGAAAACGAATTCTTTTACTTGTCCCATGGAGTAGTTCCATTAGACCTCGTCTGGGCTCGTCTTTTTTCCATTTAAATCCAATTTCTTTTAGCGCTGTTGGCAATGATACCAATGAACCATGAAAAATGGCTTTTTCACGAAGCTATTCATGCACAGATGCCAATGTAACATGCACTCCTGCAACTTTGTGCCACTCTCTACGATAATTACTTAGTAGAATAGGTATCTAATGAAAAAATTATGCTTTTGTTACCTCTCTTACTGTCTGCAAAGGTAACAAGGGGCCTCCATGGTCACGCTCTTGTTCAAAATACAGAATTAAAGATGCTACCATTTTTTTAGCAGTGCTATCCAAATTCTCCGTCATCGTAATAAATAACGCTTCACAGTACGACAAAAAGTTGTTCTTAAAAGAACAGTTTGGTTTGTGGAATTGAGAAGTTTGATAAAAAGGCAAGAAACTACGATAAACTAGACGATTCGAAGCACACACGAGGTGACAGATAGCAACATAACCTGAAATGCATAGCGCAGAGTCGCGCCAACGTCGCATTTCTGTGCCAACTGTATAATTTCAAATAAACTGTTTTTAACTTATAACAACACATCCTAGTTAAATATTTAGGTTGGTACGTGAAATTATTCCAGTAATGACGTGCAACGGAAAACTTGTTATTTTACATTATATATGTGCATTGTGCAATATAGATAAATATGAGATTAATCCAAGAAGGCAGATCATAAAACTTAAAAACTTAGAAATTGAGAATCGAAAAGATTTCATTACACATTGACACAAGTTCACCTATACATTATACGATGAACCTTGGGCCTTAAATTTACCTTGTATAGGGTTTTCGCTATAAAAAGCGTTGCACGTCATCAACAGAAGAAAATGGCATGCCAATTTAAATCAAGATTTGGCGGATTTATATTCATTATTATTTAGTTACTTTTTGGGAGAATAAGTTGGCAGGTTCGGAATTTTTTTTACAATGTTGTCAAACGTTATTTGGTGACATTTGACACTTTGGTTCGGTTTTTGCGTGTGAAAGTTTTCGGTTATTCTTGTGGTTGTTGTTATGATTCATCTTCGCTCTTAGTGCAAAAAAATGTGTTCTTTTCAGAACAAAATTGCTGTTTATGTACATTCTACCGTTATTTGCATTTGTGCTCGTCACAATGCCGAAACATTTGAACAGTAAAGCGAAGGAACTCCTTGCCTCTTCTCTTTAATTCAATATTTTGAACAGGAACGAGATAATGGGGGTTCCTTATTACCATTAGGTTCAGTTCGAGAGGTAAGAATGGTTTCAATTACTTCTGACTACTTCTAATTGTGATTAACTTCAGCGCGTTGCGGCAGCATTACATTTACACATTTCTACGCTCAGCAGAATTTCCCAAGCTGTTAAACAAAACGAAGCTTTGATATCGCAGATCTTGTATTTGCATCTAAAAGTACTGGCGATTACCATGGAGAAATGAATCGTGAAAATTGTTTACATTGGTTTGAAAAACAATTATCAGTAAATTTAGAAGAACCAAGTGTTATCGTATTGGACAATGCTTCTTACTATAACACCTTATTGACATAAAATCCGAACAACTCGTGGAGAAAACCAGATTTTCAAGATTGGTTACACAATAAACTTAAACTTGCGATTGTTAATCTCAGAAATGTGGAAAAATTCAATTAATCACACCGAAAAGATAATAAAGGAATGGTATGAACGCGAAAAACAATTGGATATTGCAGAAATGGTCCCAATCATTATAAACTGGGTGAAAATGATAGTTGAGTGATGAAAATAAAACTGCAATTACCTAAGTCACGAGAACTGTGTATTAAAATTTATTTTCTTTTATGTTAACAAAATGGAATGTTACGTAGTCTGAAAAGTATCTTTCACCTTTTTACGATCATATCAGCTTATGTTGATTATCATTTTATGTAGTTCAATAAAATTTCTTGTGGTTTTGTCTCGGTTGAACTTACTAGTCTCAAATTCCACTACGGCAAGAGTTGGCCAAATAACGTAAAATCAGTCAAGATTTCAAGCAAGCATTAACTTGATATTTATTTGCTGATGGCCTATGCAATGGGTTATAACTTCCGAAACATTTACATAATGCCGCAAAGCCCACATTCCTCATCTTTCTGCTCACAACGGCAGCGATACGTTATAAACAAAATGCTAATAGTACTACAGACTTAGTGGACTGCACTTTCCTTGAACCCGTCACAGCACAGTAGGAATGGGTTTTATTTATGCACAGTAGGTTGGTTTCACACAGAGAACCCAAAAAATGATCTCTGAATTTTCTAGTTCCTCTGGATGGTAGAAACATAACCTAAAAGTGTTTCATAAATAAAAGATTAATATATCAGCATACCTTAGAAATATTTGGCAATGCCGTGTATTGTTGACGTCATCAAATCAATGACGTGCAACGCTTTTTATAGCGAAAACCCTATAGCTTGAATGCTTATAGTCAGAGAGCTATCATTATTGACTCGTGATATAATCTACTATTTTACTAATTTAAATAGTTCAATACACAAGTGACAAGTTACAGTTATTTATTATACCTACAAGACGGTAAAGGGGGTCCGTTAACTTAGCACCACCATTTCAAATTACTGATTAAAGATAGATTGCGCTAGAATCTCTATAGCTAGCGCCACTTTGAGTTCAGCTAGCGCCATTATAGATTTTGCAGAAAATCCCTTGACTTTCGGGGGGTGCTATATTAACGCTAGCACCACCATTGCGTCCGATCATTTCCAAAAGCAAGCGCTGTGCTCGCCAGACCTAGCGCCACAAATTTTAGAGCTAGCGCCACCCCCCAATAGGGTGGAGAGCAATTTTTCCTAGCAGCACCATTTTGTCTTTTCGGGTAAAATTTTTACGTTTGGTGCTCTGCTGACCTAGCGCCACTAATTTTAGAGCTAGTTTTATAATTTTGCGGTGTCTGTCCGTCTGTCCGTTAGCACGATATCTCGATAGCGAATTTACCGATTACTATGAAATTTTGTAGATGGATTCTTTATCACATTTGTAGATCGGAGTTCGTGAATTGGCAATATAGCCCAAAAAATAAGGAAGGCCCTTTTGACATCTCTGTGAGTTATGAACCGAATTCACAATGCCCTTTTCGCATCTCGACCATGTACAAACCGGATTGAAAACTTTCTTATTTATGGAAGCATTTAACAGAAATTTGATACATAGCCACTTGGAATAAAAGCAAATTTAACGCCAGTTTCAAAATTTGGTTTTGTGCATCATGTGCGGTGCCAATTTTCTTATTTATGGAAGCAATTAAATGAAATTTCATACATATACACTTTAAATAAAAGCAAAAATAACAGCAAGTTCAAATTTGGTTTTGCACATGCTGTAGCCATACCCAGGAGCTCGTTTTCTATATTTATTTACACGTCGATGCGAAAAGGGCATTGTGAATGTTGACAGATTAGGCTCAACTTTTGGAATTGCGTGTTATATAGCTAAAGCTATACGAATATTGAATTTCATGCAATTCGGTTCAAAACTCACCCAGATGTCAAAAGGGCATTCCTTATTTTTTGGGCTATATTGCCAATTCACGAACTTCGATCTACAAATTTGATAAAGAATCCATCTACAACATTTCATCGTAATCGGTCCATTCGTTATCGAGATATTGTGGTAACCTCGGTGGTAACGGACAGACGGACAGACACCGCATCTGGGATGGTCAAACTCTTTACCATTTTTAAACCCGAATGTGCAAATCTGTCCCTCTTAGGGTCGGAAATAATAAACAAATTATTTTAATTTGAAATCCTTTACTTTTTGAATTGATCGTTCTGTTTAAAGTAAAAAAGTTCCAATAAAAATACTAAAATTTGTATGTAAAGTAGCAAGATTGTAAATATGAACATCCCTTCATTTCAAAGTAAACAGACGGTGAGGTATGCAGGTACAAACTTACTTAAATCCTTTATGAATGCGCAAAAGTTGTAAATTATTTGTCACATCAAGGGTTTACAGGCGCGTCAATTGTGTAAAGTTTGGTATATCTGTATTGTTAAAAACAACACCTTTAGATAGTAGTCGACGCGACGTACATAGGTATATAATTTACAATTTATCGGGAGCAAATACACAAGAGCTTGATTTTTAATCGGATAATTTTATTTTTACACGAAAGTTTTGTTGCAACGGAAAAAACTCGAGACCAAAAGTGTGATAAAATCGCGACAGTTTTAGCTGGAGCGATTTTATTAACATTATGCTTTTGATCGAGAGTTTTTTCCAGGAGGCAACACAATTTGAGTGAATTAAAAATAAAATTATCCTGACTTAAAACCAAGGTCGAGTGTATTTTAGAGAGATTAATAAAAAACAGTAAATTTTACAACCACTACATACGCATTCCTACACGCATTTTTATCGCTGTTAAAAAGCTACATGGCGTTTAATCAGATAAAAAATCATTTGATTGGTTAGACTTTGAAACAATCACCAAGCTGATTGGTCGTATATTAATGGAGTGTATTAATCATATAAAATACATATGCCTTATGGTTATTATTTGCACATTACACATAAGTATATAAGAATCTGCTTCTTTGTTTTTTAGCAGAATTAACAAATATGCTGATTGATTTAACGACTTTATATAGGTTATGAGTAGGTACGTTCGTTGAAATTTTCAAATTTTGCACTGCGCTGTGTTCTAAACGATTTAGGGCGTGGTAGTGAAATTAATACTGTGACTTACAAAAAAAATTGTTTAGTGAGTAGAGCACAAAACGGAAAAATTTCACAAGAAACCGTAATATGGAAATTTTAAAATTAAAAATTCATAACGAATGATAATTTTCTTTCATGGGGATCGTAGTCCCCCATTACACTGACTGGCCACGTTACCTGCACGTTGTATCGCAATACTTAAATTTGTCGTAAGTAAGTGGTAGCTCGGGGTTCCCCAGTAATATTGGTAAGTAATGCGTTTTCCCAGGTATTCCACAAAATTTTCGAGCTTCTCTACACCAAGGTCCCAATGTCTTTACTGCGAAAGGTATAAAAATATGGTTCTGTTCTATAATTGAACTGTATTTCCTTATTTTTATACTTGCCGCAGATTCAGCTACTGCACCACTCGTTTTACTCGAAAATTAATCCAAAATATTTCAGTGGTCAGTGGTCAGTTATAAAGCTAGGAAAAACTGTCCCAGACTACTTGGTTGTGGCGCCAACTCCTAAGATTTTGACTCTATCTGGGAGATATGTCAGCAAAACACAAAATAGCAAAATTGTACACGAAAAAACAAACCGGTGGTAATATACTACAAAAAAGGACCCCCCCACAATGTTGGGGATTGGGCGCCAGCTCTGCAATTTGTGGCGCTAGCTGGCGCTACGTTTAGAGAATACAGCGCAGCGCTTGCTTTTGGTAGTCATCGAACACAATGGTGGTGTTGACGTTAATATACCACCCCCAAAAGTTAAAGGCTTTTCTGCAAAATCTATAATGACGCTAGCTGAACCCAAAGTGGCGCTAGCCATAGAGATTCTAGCGCAATCTGTCTTTAGTCAGAAATTTGAAATGGTGGTGCTATAAGTGAACGGACCCCGATAAAGGGATATTTTAACCATTGAATGAAAGATATTAATTCACGAGTGGAAGTTGTTGGCAATTTCTAAAAGCACAAGCACCCAAACCTTCCACGGGAGTATAGCCCGCTTCCTTCTCGTAGTGAAATGCAGACCGCGAAGCACAGGCAATAAGTAAGTCTACCTAGCAGTAGTAAGTTTTCTGTTTACAACAAATAGTGTTTAGCAGACGAGTTACCTTGCCGCGATCAACATCCTCCTCTCGCTCCTCTGTCTCCATGATGGCATATGATGGTCCTTCAAAGCGCCGTTGGGCAGAGCTCGATCCCGATACTCCTACTGATGAGAGTCGTTGTACGGCCTTTATGAACTTGATGGCGAGACCTTAACCCTTACTGATATCAACCTCAAAAGATACAGCTTCTAAAAGACCCGAAATGCTAGGATCCTTATCACGTACCTATCGAAATCATCTTTAGGGAGGGGGTCAAATCCAAACTTGTCCGCGGACGTGCATATTGTAGTGAGACGGTAAACTATATGCAGTCCTCCTTAGATGCTTTGGTGGCGTCTCTTCCTACCCCAGCCCCCATGAGTTATTCCGTTGCTATCAGAGCAGCGGTTCCGGAGCGTGTGAAAATTCTTTCGGGAATGTCTGTAGAGCCTAAATCCTAAATCCCCCTACGTTATAAGATCCTCTGATCTTTCTCCGGGGCAGGTCAAGGAGACCACCCTCTCCCAGAACTTCGGTTCTGCTTTCGAGGAAGTACTCCTTGGTCTGGCGGATAGATCCTTGAAGGTGATGTTCCAGTTTGACCCGCGCGAAACGAGTACCTGTCACTGAATGCTTGAGTGCGACGGCGGCCCGTATGTCTCAAACGGAGGACTGTAACATCCTGGTGGCGTGAAGACTGGACAGGCTGAAAAAGGTAGTGTGCACATTGAGGCGTTACTTTCAAAAAGCTCCATCGGAGTCAAAGGCATAGTGGCATGAGTCCTATAAGTCAGCCTGCAAACGATATAAAATGGAAGTGATGAAAGCAAGGTTTGGATCATGGAAGCGTTTTGTCGAATCTACCATGTCAGCTAACCCCTGGGGAGTAGTATACCGCATATCCTGTCAAAAGCACGTTCTCACTTTCTAAGTTTTCGTAAATGTGATGATCTGCCTTCTTCGAATTTTCATGAATTTAAACTTATATTTATTCATATTATACACGTCAATGTTGTTAAAAAAGTGTAGTGATACCCAAAAATGATCGCAATATCTATTCAATGGAGTCTTAAAATTTAATATAAAGACAAGGACAAGGAAAATAGCTATTATTGTAAACAACGTAATGTCTTTTTGATAAACTACTAAGTAGAGATT